TTTTTACTTCTGTGCAGATTCTGCCTTAAACTGTCCCGAAGAACGTTTGAAATACTGCTATAGAATTTTATAAATTATCCCGATCACGATGAAAACAAATAAATATGTGTACTATGTGCTGTATAAGGTGTGAAAATCGCTCCCGGCTGCTTTATAGGGAATATTTTTTAATTGACGGTTCTTTCGTCGTATTTTTTTTAAAAATAAAAACAGGTGAGTAAATTTGAAATAAATATTTCACAGAGCGATATCACTCAATCGGATTGCTTTGTACGGGAGTGACCATTCAGGGTACATGTACATTTTAAGCACATGTTTTGAAATAGCTGATGACCTGCCGTGTTATATTCATAATTTACTAGTAACCGGCCATTGCATTACTAGTATATCGCAAAACTGTTGTTTAAACAATATATAGGCCAAATTAGCAAATTAGCGTGAATTTTATGCTGACTGGTCCCAGTTACTAGTTACAATTATCTGCGTAAAAATATTCCAAAGATGGAAACAAATCATAGTAGTGAAATTAGACAATACTCGACCATATATGTCGGAAACGAAAAAAAAAAACAATTCTTGAATTACTTGCGGTGATTTGTTCTAATTTTTCGCCTGTTATACTAGATTGAAATGTTAACAGCTGCGCGACCTAGTACCCATATTATAATGAAAATACACCGAATTTCTACATTTTGAAGTAAATTATATTCACAGGTTAATGTGAGGATATTGACTTTAAAACGTTAATGGTCACCCGCCAATTTTTCGAGAAAATTGTGGTTGTATTCCAGGGTTTTAGTGAATATTGGTCATTTGGTCAGATATTATGATCTAGGTTTTAAAAAGTAAAATATAAAATTACTTATTTTTGTATTCTGTTGAGTTGAGATTGTTTGATTGTTTAACAGGAAAATGAAATATATAATCAGTTTTGTTACCTTGTGTTTACTGTGTTACAAATTATATAAGCGTATAATGAGCATTTAGCTCTGTGGTATGAGCATTCAACTAAATCATGTAGACCGATTTTTACACACGTTCGTTTTAACCACACAGCTAAGGGACATTTAAAAGAATCACGAGACTATTTTTACACATGCGCAATAGATGACCCGTGACGTCACAAATTCTCTGTCAGGGGATATTCCCGATGTTGATTCCCTAAAACTGAGCCCCCAATTGATTCCTTTCGACCGCAAAATATTGAAATCCGGTGAGGATCACTCTCACTAGAGGCCGTTCCCCGGATTATTGTGGCTCTCAAGCTGTTATTGGACGTACATTTGCACGCGAAAGCCCGTTTGTTATCAGTAAACGTTGAGATCGTTTGAAGCTCCGGGTGTCGACCTGCTGCAAAAAATCAAGGGACAATGGATCATTCCAGCCCGAGCACAGGTAATACCAGTTGTTTTTTTAAATCTCAAGTGTTACCTGCTGTTCTTGAACTTCCCATGTATAATTATTATGAATTATGTAATGTCGTACGCCCCGCACTGCATGTGTATAATGTTAGTGTCATGTACGTGTATTCCTGTGTGGAATTCGTGACATACTCCGTAGATCTGTAAATGACGTGAATCCAGATCGAAAACTCAAAAATGTGTCTTAGAAAGAAAAACAAAACAAAAACGTGTAATTTCCAGTGACAAGACTATCTGTGTACATTATGACTGTGTTGATGATATCTGCATTATATCTGCCGAACTGTCTAA